AACCTTGGGTGCCTCCACACGTGCATGAGGAGATAAAAAAACAGTATAGTGGAAGAAGGAAATGGCCAAATTAATGTCCCAAGAATAGAATACTGATAGAGGACATAATCTTGAAGAACATGAAGATAACCTGGAATCTAGAAGAGAAGATACAACCATCATTAACAACACACCAAGGAGAAAATCCACTAGAATGAGAAAGAGACCAGAATACCTAAAGGATTACATCTGTGAATAGATTTTAGATCACAATCCAGAATCAGAAAATGAAAGGTAGAGCAAAGAAGCTAATTCTGCAATACCCATATCCATGACCATTGGGTACCGCAGGGTTAAGGGGGCACACAAAATTTTTTTACACAGTATAACTCTGCAAAGGGAGCTAGAATCCTTTGCAAAAGCCAACCAAAACATAGCTTGGAAGATTGCCATGATAAATGAGCTACAAGATTTAGAAGAAAACAAAACATGGAAAGTTGTAAATTTGCGACCCCAAAAGAGAGCCCTTGGTTGTAAGTGGGTCTATAAAATCAAATATAAAGCTGACGGATCAGTTGAGAGATATAAGGCTAGGTTAGTAGCTAAAGGTTATACACAAAAAGAAGGTTTAGATTACTATGAAACCTTCTCACCCATGGTAAAAATTACCATTGTTAAGATGCTTCTAGCTCTTGCAGCAATGAAGGAATGACACTTATATCAATTTGATGTGAATAATGCATTCCTACATAGGATCTAAAAGAAGAAGTATACATGGAGTTACCACCTGAGCATTCAAAAGGGAAAGAAGGAAAAGTTTGCAGATTGTTGAAGAGTCTATATGGATTGAAACAAGCCTCAAGGCAATGGTATGCCAAATTCTCAGAATTCATTCTCAAACAAGGTTTTACTCAATATAAGGCTAATTACAGCCTCTTCATAAAGAGTCAAGGTAAAAGCTTTACAACCCTTCTTATCTACGTTGATGATATTATAGTTGCTAAGAATGATAAAAGAATCATCGATGAACTTAAAGATAGAATGAATAGTGAATTCCAAATCAAGGATTTGGGAATAATAAAATATGTTCTTGGTATTAAAGTAGCTAGATCGAAGAAGGGAATACACATATGTCAAAGGAAATACACCCTTGATTTGTTGAAAAATTCAGTAATGCTTGGAAGAAGAACTTCAATTCTGCCTTTAGATCAGAATGTAAAGTTGTCCAGGGATCAAAGTGAGTTAATAACATATCCAAAATTATATAAAAGGCTTATCAACAAACTCATGCATCTTACTTTAACCAAACCATATTTGACATATTTAGTATTAAGTCAATTTATAGAAGACCCTTGAGAGATACATTTGAAAGCAGCCCACAAAGTATTGAGGTACCTCAAATCCACACCGGGGCAGGGGCTGTCTTACTCCAGCACATCTGATTTGATATTGAAGGCCTATTCTAATAGTGACTGAGCTGGTCGCCCGGATACTAGAAGATCCGTCATTGGATATTGTGTTTTGCTTGGGCAATCTCTAATCTCATGGAAGTCCAAGAAGCAACATACCATATCAAGGTCATCTGTAGAAGTTGAATATAGT